AAAACTAATCAGCACGTCTTTCAGTACGAATCGAATGTTTTGTTCAAATAGGATGCCAAAATTCAGAAACCTCTGAAACGTATAGATATATAAAAATTTTCACTTTCGATTTTTTTGCGATTACTATATATAATTTACTCTACCGAAGTTAATAAATTATTAAGTTATTTAATCAATATTAATTAATACACAGAGCGATTTTTTTAGACATATTTATATGCACTCGTTAACATATTTATATAATGCCCTAAGGCTTTGCAGACCTAGCAGATCGCCTTTCGCCAGCCCTGATTTTCAAAAGAAAAATTGATGATTTAAAAAAATATTAATATATCACTTCAAAGTAATCATATAAACTTTTCAAAAGAAATGACATTTATAAGCTGGTATAAAAAAATATAGGAAAAATAGCCGAACAAAATCGTAAAGATACAATAAAATAAAATTATTATCCTGTTCTCAAACTAGAATTCAAAATTTACACTAATATACATTTATATACACCGAGGAATAAAATTCTAAATCATATTATCATCATCATCATCAGTTAATCATAATTTATATAAATCAAATATTGACAATAATAACAATCATAATAATCATTTATGATTCAAGAAAGAAAACTAGTGGTGTATGGCATTGTAACTTAAGGCAAATTGCTGGAACTTCCCGTACCGTAAGGAAGATTCGAGGAAAATGAAATGTTTCCAAATAGATAATTATAAATACTGTAACTTATATATGTTTACAGAAAAGTAAATAAACCAAATTTAATCAATCAAATTTAAAATAAAGGATATTTTCTAATATTTATAAGAAATACATAAACTGAATTACAAAGTTAAAATTATTTGTTTCAAGTATATAAGTAAGCATTTAAACATTAGACAGAATTCAAATTAAAATCCACGTAGAAAGTTTTTTGAATCATTCAAATCGGATGCTTAGTTTTCTCAATAACAGATATTTTTTGAACATTTTGCTTGGTATCTCCGAAACGATTGGATCTGCCGTTGCCAAAAACTAATCACCACTTCTCACCATCATTACAAATTGAAGCTTTTTGGATCAATCAAATCGGATGTTTCATTTTCTCAAAAACTCGATTTCTATTTTCTGTACCCTTTGATTCGTATCTCCGCAACGGCTGACCTAATCAGCACATCTCCCTATCATTAGGAATCAAATGTGTTTTGAACCATTCAAATCGGTTGATACGTGCGCCCGAAAACGTGAACGAAAAAATGCGGACACACAAAACACACACACTTCCATTTTTTCTGAGTTATGCCAAAATGTTCAGAAACCTTCAAAACGTGAAGAAAAGCAAAAAAAATCATTTTCGATATTCGGCCCATTACTATAACTTACGCTACGGTAGTTGATAAATATGAAATTAATAAGTTGCTTTTTACAACTATGTATAAGTAAACTCCACCTAGGTACGCCACTGTGCACACCAAATAACCATATAATTTAGTAATGATTACTAATTTTCTTTAAAAAAAATGGATTTCGTACCAAGATTTTAAAGTCCACTTATATGCTTCAAAGAAATGTTCTCAACATTTTTGCAGTATTGATCAACCGACTTTAGTGATTCGAAAAACATTCGATTCGTACTGACAGCGAGACGTACTAGTTATTTTTTGCGTAAGTCTAGAATGTCGGAGGTACGGAGCACGAAGGGTGCTAAAAATGGTTATCATAAAAAATATCATAAAATGGTTATCGTAAAAATGGTCAGTTTTTGAGAGATCATCGGATCAAACGAATCATCCGTTTTGAATGTTTCGAAAAACATTTTACTTGTTGGCGGTGTGAAAAATGATTAGTTTTTGGGGAAGGCAGGTTCAAAATTCAATATTTTTTTCAAATTTTCGCAATTTTTCTCTCTTAAACACTCAAAACAATGAAATTATTTTAAAATTTTCAGAACGCTTTAAGGAAAAAATACGATTTTTTATTCAACAAAATTTTCTAACAAAATTAATAATTCGATAATGATGATACTGATTTCATAGGTCAATATTGATTATATAAAACTAAAGCATTTTGTTATCTTTTTAACTTCCCGTAGCGTAAATTATAGCAATCGCAAAAAAATCGAAAATGAAATTTTTTATATCTTTACGTTTCAGAACCCTCTGAACATTTTGGCATACCTTAGCAAAAATAGATGTATGTGTGTGTGTTGTGTGTATGTAGTATGTATGTGTGTATGTTTGGATACAATTTTTCGTCCTTGATTTCGAAAGCAGATTCAAAAAAGATTCGATTTGTATGGATGCGAAGACGTGGTGATTAATTTATGCCAAAGGCAGGTCCAGCCGTTTCGAAGATACGGGGTAAAAAGTAACAAAAATGGCAATTTTGATAGAACGGAGCGTCCGATTTGAATGCGAATCAAATAACATATAACTTGTATTGATATAATGAAGAGTTGATTAAATTTTTGGGAAAACAGGCCAACGATTTCGGAGATCCAATGAAATAAGTTTTAAAAAAATGCCATTTGTCGGTCAAAAATAATCATTAGATATATGCACATCAAATTATTAGATATTTATAGATTTTAATAATAATTACTTGTAATTTTAGACTGCGATGCGATGTGCCGCGCTTTGGTGTTTTGTTTCTAAAACAGCTACGCCACGCAATTGCTTTTAAAAAAATCAAACTTTTCAAAAAAAAAAAAAATTAATGCATTTAAAAATTATAAATTACGGTACGGAAAAATTCCAGCAATTTGCCTTAAGGCACGATGCCATGCAGCACTAGTTATTATTATTTTATTGAATTCTTAGAAATACGAGATCTCATGGCTTCATGCTACCTATAATCGGATACGATTCATGTATGTTTATTGTTTACATTCCAATACAATTTGTGGTTGTTTGTGCACATATATGCATAAAGTATAACACTTCTAAAATCTAAAATAATTGTTATTATTATTGTTACTGTTATTGTTACTTTCATTCGTTACATATCAATAATCAACAAATTACATTAATAATTTCTGTTCTTTATTTATCAATTTTAATCTACGAATGTTTTTCACGGAAAGTTCCAGCAGTGTGCTTTAAGGCACAATGCCATGCCCTAATAGTTCAAATTTGGTTTCATTCGATTCAGAATTACTTGAAACATCGTAGAAATATAAAATTAGCAAATAGGATTTTTTTGCGAAAACAAACTTCTCCGTCGGCTAAAAAATGGTATAAAATGTTTTGAACTCAAATATTATGAATATTCGAAAGTAGTAATAATTATCGAAACTTCAATGTGTACTATTTCTCTCAAAAAAATTTTGAATTTGTGAAAACACTATTCAAATGCTGAAATACATCCAATTAAACACTGTATTTTATCTAAAGAACATTATATATACCAATTTTGAAATTTATTTTTTGTGTTCAGTGGTAAGCAAACCATAAAGTTCAAATTGATTACGTTATACTATTTGGATTAGTACTTGTTTTTAGTAACTCTTGTATAGGTTTTCTTACTTACGATATTGCTTGCAATATTGCCTTAGTAGATTCTTCTTATTTAAATTTAAAAATTCAATGAAACCTGAATCGAAGAAATGTATTGGGCCATATTTATGAATGAGAAATGTAGCAACCTAACAACTAGATTTTCTATAATTCATTCTCAAAGTATATTTTTTTTTAGTTTAAGGCTGTTTTAAGTTTTGATATGTTTAATGTAGAATAACAAATTTATAATTAAGAATGAACGAATTAGAATAACGAATTGTGATTTTCAACTAATTATATGAAATGAAGTATTTCAGCGTACATATTTTTATACTAGTATTAATGAAAGATAAGAGAAAAAACATTGCTAGTTCAATTGCAAAATGAACCGTATCGAGCAAAAATGCAAGAAATGCTTTATATATATTGAAATATATATGAAGGATCAGTAATAATATATATGAAGGATACATTTTCAATTTCATCAGTAAAAGTTTAATTTTATCCCTTAACCAATCCTGTATTAAATTCAATAAGTAAATATTATATTCATTGATTATTTATTTTTTATGACCATACAAATATAACTTAATAATCCTAAATTATATGTAAAATATGTATAATATACATCTGTTATAATAAAGAGTTTTAATATGTAAAATGTACTGAAAAAAAATCAGGTTAAGTTGCAACACATGAAAATTTTGAATTTCAACTTTTTTTTCTCTATTAGTTGCTATCAGACCTGGGTGACATATTTTCTAGAAATGCATTGGGAGTTGTGGTACAATTGAATTATTAATATAGAAAATATTCAAAAATATCAGAAAAAACTTGTATTAAAAGAATGATACATACATGATAATTATAATTCATAATATTAAATTAACAATCATTCATTAAGACTAACTGTATTTTTGTCGTATACTAATCATTAATGATGTTTATGTTTAATAACAGAAAAGACTTCACGGAAAGATGTACGACGTTCCATGTCATATTCTATAACTCGAAAACCATGGCGATAATACTATGTGGAGAGCGTATTGGTATCATAACTTTCAGAACGATTTGTTAAATTACAATACATTTGTAAATAAATCAATTAATTGAAAATTAACAGTATTACATAGATCGTAGGAAATATTATATATGCAAAAAAAAATCAAATCAAACTTATTTTGTAACAATAAAATGTGTATTAGAAAGTAATTCTCATAACACACATATTTATCATTTTTATTTATATTTTATTAATATAAAATTTTGATATCACGTGTTTATACTATAAATACTATTAGTATTTTCATTCGTTTTTTTTTTAAATACATAAAAAAAGTTTCAGTCATAAAAAAACTCGATATAAGCTGAATATAAAATAATCTTGCAATAAATTAAAAAGTAAACATTTAGTCATTAGTAAAAATTTTTGGAACATCAATTTACATTTCTATGAAAGACAAATAAATAATCCACAACATAAACAGTAAAAATAAATGCATAATGACTAATTACACTTCAACACACCTCATGTGTTAGACGCTGGTTGTAAGGATCCAAAGGTTTCAAAAGCAAGCAGCATTATTGCTCGACTTCCATCTTGAATTGTTCGGGCCAGCTTCGGTCATACATAAATAAAGTAATTGGGCAATGATCACTGCCCATTACTTTGCTCCTAATTACAGAATCACAAATGTGCTTACCCAGACGCTCTGACACAAGAAAATAATCCAATCTCCTAAAAATAACAATGTTAGATAAAGATTAATATCTAACAATTAATAATTATTAATTTTATTTCAAAAAGAGTTCTCACCAGCCTATGTTTTTGCTTCTGGCGTTTTTCATGTAAGACCAGAAAGTGTATGCATCTTTTTGATTAGGATATAGATTTCTAAATGTGTCTATGAAACCTAGGCTCAAAAAATCAGTCATACCCTGCCTTTCTTCCAGGGTAAATCCAGCATTTTTCTTATTTGTTTTTGGATTTGTTAAATCTATTTCATTATGAGCAACATTCATATCACCGCATATTATTACTGGTTTTTTATTGTCCAGTTTCTTTATATATTCGGCAAATGCTTCGTTCCACTTTAATCGCTTGGGAAGTGTCACTAATCCTCTGCCTGCATTCGGAACGTACACGCATACCAGATAGAATGAATTATATTCAGCTACAGCAATCCTATCTATAATAACATTGGGCATCAATATATCACCTTTTGTTTTACCGCATGTTTATAAAGATAAATAAATTTGATAAGTTTTATAATCATCAAATTCTTGAATCAATAATTCTTATTCCATTCATTTCACTCTTTTCATGGCTCCTCGCATCCTCCTTTTATTTTCACCAGGCTTGCAATATAAGTGATATCCTGGCAAATCAAGGTTAGGCAATTTATCTAAAGGGCATCTAGTTTCCTGAGAAAATGAAAATTTCTTATTAAAAACTTGTTTTACCATATAAGGAGCCTAGTTTGAAGGCAAGTTAATGAGTTGGCTTGATTCCCAACAAAAGCAGATAACATCTAATGGGAAACATTATTTTCATTTCAGTTTCTGATCCACAAGTAATGAAAATTACTTGTCAATTTTGAGCAGTATGAGATTATTAATATATGCTCAGAGTAGCAGGATAAATTTAAATTTGTTTTCTTGATGAATTTGAATTAATTAGGTATGCGTATGTAAGTAGTTTATAAAAAGCAGTTAATTTCTTACATCTTGAACTACATTTCAATAACAACTCACCTGCAGACATATAATGTCTGGATTTTCAATCTTCAAGAAATCGACCCCTTTTTTCTCTGCCCATGCTCGAATACCATCTACATTCCATGAACATATTTTCACATTCCAATTATCACCATTTGCTGACTGCCTAGTGCAATCTATAATTTCTGGTATGGGTGCTGAATCTATGACACTTTTGGAATCAGTTCCTTAAAGAAAATACTTTTTATAAGTAGTATATGTATATCTAAACTAATAAAATTAGGAACTTACTGTGTTTGAAAATACATGTAACAAATGAAAACAAGGCATTAAATATCATGGTAATAATTTTTATTATGGTTTCAAAAAACTTACAAAATTTTGTAACAAAACTTCAAATAAATGTCACAATTTCTAAAATCATAGTAAACATAAATAATACACAGCACTACACTGAAACAATGCTCTATATAAAATATTTCAATGCATTATGCTTCAACATTGATGTCTACTACTCATTATCCTTTTAATTACCTTGTACTTCATTGCTGTTCTTTACAGCCTTCTTGCCTTTTGCGGTCTTGGTGGCAGTTTTTTTCGATGTTTTTTTGTTATCTTGCTCTACTTCTTTGGTCTCATTTTCGGGACTCTGTAATTTATCTTCATCTTCCTCAACTTTAGTCTTAATTTCTTCAGGTGCCGATTCTTTTAGATTTGCATCTTTTTTTTCTGGCTTTTTGCTTGCTGCTTTCTGCCTTTTGGATTCAGTAGGCTTTGTATCATTTTTTTCTTCAACTTTTCTCTTTCCGCCTTTTTTAGCAACAGGTTTTTCAGTTTTTGTAGACTTTTCGGAGTTCGCCTCAACTTTTTCTTTTTACCTCTTTTAGTGGTAGTTTTTTATCATCAGAATCTTTTATTTCTTTTGTACCATCTGAATCAATTTTTCTTTTACCACCTTTTGGAGCCTTAATTTTATCAACTTCAGATCTTTCTTAGCTTTATCTGTCTTTATCGTTCTTTTTCGCCTGAAAATAAAAATTTAATATTAGCTTCATATTCTATCAAATATAAATTTGAGATGAATTCACCTTTAGCTGCCTTATTTAATTTGACCAAAGGCGACTCGGCATAGTTTACATTCTTCTTTGCCGATCTACTAGGTCTTTCAACAATGCTTTCTGGCTTTTGTTCCACCTATACGTATTAAACAATAGAAAATGATATTAGTTTTATCTCTATCTTAAGTTTATCATTCATCATAAGATGATAAAGTTAAAGTGCGTGTAAAACTGTTAATTAGACTTCTTGTTTGCAACTTAAATTTTCAATCTTAAAAAAGATGTTGCCGGACGTATCAAAAAGTATATATAAAAAGAAATAATTATTAATAAATTTTTACGCCGGTGATTATTTCATAACCACAATTTACCTTCTTTTTTGGAGGCATAATGACACTAAAAATTATTATTTGAAAAAAGCTAATCTATATCACAATTTATTACTAGTAAAAGTTTATTTCGCAGTAAAATTCACATTAAAATAAATGTTAAATCGTAAACAACTGTTTGCTAACTAACAATAAAACTAATTTGGTTATGCGAGAACCCGCCAACTAAACTTTCAACAGTGTCGCTGCTTAACACCCGCAGGTTTAAAACTTGACCGAATGAAATTTATGAATGTGAAGCAGGGTTGACATCCGAATCGAGAAGCGGACTACATATTTAACTCGAAAATGATCTTTTGAAGGAAAGTAATGAAATTGCAATATCATTCTTAAATAATATTTTGTTATTTCTGCAGTATTCATTTTAAAATTTAGCGAAAAATGATTTCTGCCTCATGTAACCAAAATGTACATTTGTATGTTATACCCTGGAACTCTTGACTCATCTTGACTAATATTTAAGGTTTGTGTTGATAACATGTCGTTTGTCTTAAACAATATAATGAACTCAGATAAAACCAAAACCAAACTAGTAGGTATTGGTATTTTGCCTTGAGGCAAGTTAATCAATAAAACATAAATTAATTTATGAGTAATTAATAGTATTTCGAGTGGATTTATCACATATCATTGAAAACGAACGAACACATTGTTATACCACAAGAAAATCGTCTAATTTTAATTTTAATATACGTCAAAAAAACTACTTATTGTCTCAAACTTTGATGAGTTTTTAAAATTAAACTACCTGTTGTAAGGTCGTAATATTTTAGTAAGTTCAATAAGACTATTTGACATATGCCAGAAAAACGATACCAATTTTTGCAAACTTTGAAGAATTTTTAAATAAACGACTTGTCGTAGGACGGTAATATTTTAGTATGGTCTATATTTATATTTTATATATCTTTTAGTATGGTAAGACTATGGTATCTACCGTCCCAAAAAATAAATCATAGAAATCGTCGAATTTTTTATAAAACTTTATTACAAGAAAACGGCTTAGCCGATCTATACCAAAAACTAATCAGGTTGATTCCCAATCAATATCTTTCAAACGGTTTTTGAATTTTCAAAATCGATTCAGAATTGCGGTCTAAAACGTAGATGAAAAAAATTTCACTTTTCTGCTATTTACAAAGAAACGGCTTGGCTGATCGTTGGGCAAAGTTGATAAACCCTAGTCCTCATCGAGATACATAAACTTTTGAAATCGGTCGAGTCGTTTTGAGAAATCGTCGATTTACGGCAAAAAATCTGTTCCACACATACAAAAAACACGCACACACACACATACTTTTTCCAAATTTGGTCTCAAAATAGCTTGAAACGTCGAAAAAACATAAAATTAGCGATTCGGATTTTTTGTTGAAAACATAAACTTCTCCTTCGGGAAGTTAAAAACGTTATGTTGTGTTATTATGTTAAAAAAGTTCTGTTTATTTATCTATGGTTAAAAACTCTTCTTTTATCTATGGATAAAACATACCTTGCTGTTTACTTATCTATGCTTGCTCCACTCTTCTTTTTTCTATGCTTGGTCGACTTTGGTCTTATTTAAAATTTAAATATTTTTGTAGTGATTAGTCCTCTATATTCATTGTTCTATGGTGTAAATATAGCAAACAAATGTCAAGCTGTCATTTATATTTTCGTATGCTTCTTTAAATAAAAAAACTATATTAAACATAAAAATAGCTCTCATAAACCTCATAGATCGCATTAGTAATTTAGGTATGAATTTATTTTAGAACCAAAACGTTCATAACCGACACTCATCACAACATGAATGTTTTGAAACAAAAACCTGAATTAAAGAAACCCATCAGATCGATAGCACCTAAAGTGCCAGTAGAAAAAATCAGATACTAATTATCAAATAGTTGATAAAAATGCTAAAGTGTTCCTATTAGTGCCCGTTGTAGGAACTTTATATTCTACTCCAACTAGTTGCCCACAAAGTTTTTCACAGAGCAATTCATTAGAGCCAAAAAGTAATCGATTAGAAAATGACGACGAAAAACTGGGTAAAACTGATTCATCAAATATAGCAATTAGTTTAAACAAGTGCAAGTTATGTGACAAATCCTGCCGACTTATAGATCACTGAAATATCATATGCGTGTACATGTTGCTGATAGACCATTTACTTGTAATGTATGTGAAGGAACTTTTAGGACTGAATCTACTCTGAAACGCCATATGATTGTGCACACTGATCGTTTCAAATGTACTTTGTGTGCAAAATGTTTTATCTCTAATCGGGATTGGGCTTCACATATGACAGGGACACATTTAATAGAAAATCCTTACAAATGCCCTTATTGTGACCAGAGTTATGCAGTAAGCGGATATCTTCAGAAACATATTCAGGAACATGGTGTCAAGCATATTTGAAATGTGATAAATGTGACAGAACTTTTAGCTCTGCAGTAGGTTTAGCAAAACATATTGTTACCCATCGTGAAATAAAATCACATACTTGTACCGTTTGCAGCAAAAAATTTTCAACTGCAGCTTTTCTAAATACACATATGATAAGTCATACTTTAAAAAGAATATATAAATGCCTGTTTGTGATTTGTGCTTTGTAAGTCCTTTACATTTACGAAAACATATGACAAGGCATAACTCGGAATCAATTTTCAATTGCATAGTCTGTGGTAAATATTTTGAAAATATTAATGACTTCACTAAGCATAAAAAAATACACAAAAGAATACGAAAATTTATGTGTAATTTATGTGATAAATCATACTGTACAAATTGGGAGCTAAGAGCTCATATGAAAATACATAGTTCTGAACGTCCATTTCAATGTACAATTTGTGGTAAAAGTTATAAGTTTAAAAGTACTATTACATCATATGAAATTACATACAAGAAAATTCAAACCTAGGTGTGAGATATGTGAAAAAACATTTGCTAGAGAGTCTGGTTTGGCCATTCATATGCGAAGGCATACTGGAGAATCCCGAAGGAATTGTGAAATTTGTGGAAAATTTTTCATGATGAAATGACTTTTGCTCGTCACATGACTAGGCATAATGGTGTTATTACATGCAAGTGCCCTATGTGTGGTAAAGGCTTTATAATCAGGCTGATTTGGCAGCACATAAGTCTTACCATGAAGATAGGGGCTCTTATGAATGTGAAA